TGTCCACCTTGCACACCAGCAGGACGGGCGCGGAAAATGGCGAAGTGCTCGGCCGAATGATCCCTTGGTGAAGCATCACTGCACATTGGCGCTCGAGCTCGTCCTTCTGTAGCTGCGGGTATCGGTACGGCCGCACCACCACTGGGGCCATCCCGGGCAGCAGGTGGATGCGGTGGTCGTAGGGGCACGCCGGAGGGAGCCCAGTAGGCTCATCGAAGATGTCACCGTGCTGCGCCAATAGATAATCCAGGAGAGGTAGCCGCGGGTCAGTCATGACCGTGGTCACCGCCTGCTGTGGGGTGGGCGTCTGAGGCCCGGGCATGCCCTGCCAGGTGACGCGACGGCCCTCCCTCTAGAACGCCATGGTGAGGGCATCGCAGTCCCACAACACGGGCCCCAACGTGCAAATGAAGTCGAAGCCGATGATGAAGTCGAAGGCGCCCAGGTTGAGGCCAACACACGTGATGGTGAAGTCCTCGTCGCCGATGTGGACGGGCACGTTTCGAGCAATGCCCTCGCACGCCACGTGCTCACCATTGGCGATCATGACACGGAGGTGGTCACCACCAGCTGGAGATAGGCCCAAACGGCGCAGAACAACCCCTTGGACAAAATTATGAGTGGATCCGGTGTCGAGGAGGGCGAGGAAACTCTCGTCCTTGACGGTGACGGGGAGCAGCATGGTGTTGGGTGGGTGGATTCCTGCAACAGCATGGAGAGAAACGATGAGGGCGTTAGCAGCGTCTGCTGCATCGCCGACCACTCCTTGGCCGGCCGGCTCGTCTGGAAAGGCAGTTGTGTCGGCGTCTGCAGCAGCCACCTCCCCGGCTTCCTCGTCGACGAAGTCCGTAGACTCGAGGTAAAACAGCCAGGGGCACACATGGCCACGGACATAGGGCTCGTCGCAGTTGAAGCACAGCCCTTGACGGCGGCGCTCCAACTGTTCCGCCGGCGTGAGGCGACGAAACTGACGCACGGGAGGAGCGCCCTGCCCGCCCACGGGACCAGCGCCCGGCTGAGCTGGAGCCCCCGCTGCTTGTGTCGAGGCACGCGGGGGCAGGCCGGGCACCCCATGGGGGTGGCACCGTGGGCATGGTCGTCGCCCGACGCTCGAAAGCCCGTGCCAAGTACATGGCCGTCTGGATGTCCTGGGGATCGCGCATCTCCACATCCACCAGAATGTACGGGAAGGCCGCCGACGAAGAGATCGGCCTTCTGTTTGGCAGAGACGCCACGTGCATGGCAGGATACCGCCTGAAAGCGGTCGGCGAACTCCTGGACAGTAGATTGGAACGGCAAGCGCCCCAAGTCCGCCAGCCGAGTACCGCGAACTGGCGGTCCGAAGCGTTGGCGGCACAGCTCGACGAAGCGCTCCCAAGAAGGCATGCCCTCATCCTGCTGGAGGGCATAGTACCAGGTTTGCACCAGGCCCTGGAGGTGGTACGACGCAATCCACGTTCTGTCGGCCCTGGAAGAATTGCTCGCAGTGGTTGAGCCAATTCAAAGGGTCTTCCGAGCCATCATAGGTTGCAAACTCGAGGCGATGCGTCTTGGGCGGCAAGCGATCGAAACTGCCCCCCATGGCCTGCAGAGGGCGCTCGTAGGGGCCCTCCTAGTCGGCCCCAGGTGGCACGGCCACGTAGGCAACCACGGAGGCGCTGGTGTCATGGAACAGCGTCCCGTCCACGCCGCCGTACAGTGTCCTTGATGCATAGGGTTCCCCATGGGCGACCGTCGATGGTGCCTAAGGGATGGTGGTCCGAGGCGGCACCGAGGAGTAGAGTGGTGCGGTCATGGAGTGGTGCGCCGCCGAGGATCCAAGGGCCCAAGCCGGAATCGGCGACGGTGAGTGCGGAAGTTGCAGCATATGGATCGGCACCTAGGATACCACCGACTGAACGGAGGTCGACGGCGACGGCATGGAGTCCGTAGGCATCCCGTAGGGGTAGGTGAGGAGCGGCACCGAGACGGATGAGGGCAACGGCAGCGGCGGAGGAGGAGGATGTGACAGGTGCGGTGGTTGAACCACGTACTGGCCGCTCAGAAACGCCCTCATCATGTCCTGCAGCTCCTTCACGCCGTGGCTGAGATTGATGATGGAGGTCGTCACCTCCTCGGGCGTGAACACCCGCCGCGGCGCGACGATGGTCATCAAGGATTGGGAGGATGGCACCACCAGAACGCCCGACGTAGCAGGGGGCGCGGTGGAGTTGGCCGGCACCGGTGGAATCACCGGCGATGGCGCGGCGGAGGAGGCAGCGGAGGTGTCCATGATCGGCAAGGTCTCTGATACCAAGCTGATAGGAACCGAGGTTCCTCCCCTGACCGAGCGTAGGTTGTAGCGGTGGGTGATCGGGGGTCGAGGCTTAAACCGCGATGGACCACGGCGGGGCGCCGTGATCTCGCGGGTGGAGACTGGCGGCATGCGTGAGGCAAGAGGAGAGGCGATTAGGGCACATGATAATCTCCCGGCTCCCTAAAGGAAGCCGAAAACAATAATATGTTTCTGCTTAATTTCCTCAATAGAGTTTACAGGTATTTATATGTCTCTGAATAAAAATAAAAAATAACTCTAATATTATGTAAAATATGATAAATATGGGCCTTGAGCCCCCTAACCCGCCGGCATCCTCTAGCCACTGCTGGGCCTTCGCCTGGAGTACTGGATGCCGGTCATAACAATATTGTATTCAATTTGATAAGGAGTCCATATAGTAGTACTAGGCAGTATGCGACTCTCCAACAACAATATCAAGCCAATGAGGAACCAGATGGATTTACAGTATCAAAACCAGCACATAAATCTCTCGACAATTATTAGATGCTAACAAGCACACTTGATAGATGAACGACAACACCAAATAACTTTCTCTCAATTAAGGAACTCGGACAGTAGCAGCGATAAATAGAGGGATCAGCTTACAGTAGATGATGCAAACCAAACCCTAAGATAAACCTTCCACCCACGGCCACGACGAACTACGATCAAAAGATGGGGAATTGAATCAATTCCAGCATGAGTCCAAGGATCAATCCTCGGGCACACACCAACACAAATCCTCGCAGGGATCCGGAATAGTAAACCTCTAGGGTTTCACGAGCGGCGGCTCAACGGGGAATAACTCCATGAATAAAATCCAATCTGACCTTCCTTACATGCCGACCCTGGCTTTTTATTAATGTGCACGCAGGCACTCTGGACTCCACGAGGCCAGAACCAGGTTCGACTCAAACAAGTGCACGCAGGCACCATGACCATCTAATTGACTCCAACTATGACTCGTACACATGACTCCGACACACAGGTGACCTAAACCAAGGGCATGTTTGTGACCCTGTACCTGGCCGGCCTGGCCAGCCCAACTGGCCCAGGCCTGGGCAGGCCTGCCCCAAGTGGTGCAACAGCTCTTGTTTGTGCCTATGTACCCAGTGAGCCCGGCTCAGGCGAGGCTGTGTTTGTCATCGAAGAGGCAGCCGGGCTGAGAGGCTAACCGCCACCAACTACCACACCGAGATAGTGTTTGTCATTTGGCTGTGGTCGGCCAGGCCCATAACAACAAATAGAAATGGACATGAATGAAAGGAGAATGAGGTTGCTCTTCCATAACCGTTACAACAACAAATCAAAGTTTCAGCATGAAATAGTTGGCCTCAGACATGCTAATTTAACAATTCATGGCATTACTGGCTACATGGGATAATCAAAGTCAGTAAAGAAGAACAAAAGCATGGGTCAGTCAAGTTTTGAAGCCAACAAACGAAAAAGTTCACAGAAATAGATAAGAGGTAGCAAAATGATATGTAGTCAGCTAATGCATTGATCCATTGTGTCATTATTGGCCAAAATACAACATTTAACAGTTTGGCAAGCCGAGAAGGGCAACAAGTTAACAGAAAGCATGTAGCCAGCTAATGCAGTCATCCTATTATGTCATCATCGGCCTAATTAAAACAACAGCTGTGGCATATGAACAGCTTGAGTGATAGACCAACTACAACTATAAACAAGATCAAGATGACAACATTTTTGCAACAGCCTTGCAGCACAGGTGAATGAGGATAGATTTCAGAACCTTGACCTATCACCAGTTCATGGGATGCTGATGCATCCCCATGAGGGGCATGAATTGGTAACAGCAAGGGTTCTTGAGGTACCCTTGCATTAAAATCTCTAAGAGCATCATCATAGTTGTTGTACTTCTGATAGATAGCCCCTTCTTCCCTAAGCACTTGCTTAGCACACTCATACCATGTAAAATAAATCCTAGGTTTCTTCCCTTCAAAGACCACATAGCAGGGAGGCATTCTCTGAAACCAACCAAATGTAGAACATGTAAGTGGTCCAATGACATGCCTCAATCGACCATTCAGCTTGAATGATGGTGAACATCATCGGCAACTTGATAAAAAATTAGCATGCACTGTTATTTTCCTTGTTTAGTCATTGGTGGCTACCAAGAATTGTAAGAACCAAATAAAGAGGCAAATAAACAACAGTTGCACTCACTGCCATCAGCCATCACAAGAGGATGTTGTTGCTGTGGAGTACAACTGAGCATAAGTGTAGAATGGAAGGATAGGCAAATAAAGAAGAAAGCACAACAACAAAACCATCAAAACAAGAATAAGGTAGCCACCTCAAGTTTGTTTTATGCATCATAGGCCTTTAAATCCCACAGTTACCACCAGAGGCATAAACAACAAAAATAGGCAACTAGTTATCAAATAAAAAGTAGCCAACAGAGGCTACAAATAAGTTTCTTACAATACCAAGTTGAGCCCAACAGCCAAGGGCTCAAATGTTCCCAAATCCTTGCCTATTGTTAGCCACCCTCCTAGGCAAACTACACCATCAAGGTCAGGTGTCAAAAGAACAAGCAGACTGCATAAAAGGTCCTGTTGTCAAAAGAAGAGAGAGTGGGTGAGGGGGGGGGTGGAGGAACTATACATCTCTACAGTCAACCCCCTCCTAGCCTTCTAGCCCTTCATGTGTAGTGGAACTACACATAGTAGTTTTTGGCTAGGAAGGTCCTAAGCCAAAGGGCCCTGTGGGCATCACTCATGTTCACAAAGCCCCTGCCTTGGGCCTTGTTGTCCAGGAGGAAGGTGTAGGCAACAATAAGTGCCTCCTCACTGAAGCCAGGCATCTCCATCACAGCAAGGTACAGATTGGCATCAACATGGGCAGGTCCAGTCTCCCTAAGAGCATTGGCCACATTGTTCACAGCATCTGACATGTTAGTCAACATGAGCATCTCCTCCTCAGAGAAGTTCCCTCTCTTCCTCTTTGGGCCAGCAGCTAAGGAGGTAGGAAGCAGTTCAGTGGCCTTGCTGTCCCCTCCCTGTTCACTGGGAACTGTGGTGTGGGTCAAAGGAGGACCATCAGCCTTGGCACCAACACTGTCAGCCTGGTTCTGCCCTAAGGCTTCACCAGACCCAAGTGCAAACTTGCCTGTGGCCATGGCATTAGCAAAGATAGCCTCCATCTTAGTGTAGAACCTAATAGGGCAGTTAAGAAACTCTGCATCTTTAGGATGGTCCTGCAGAGTTGGGCAAATATAGTTTAAGAAAGGCAAATGTAGGTAGTCAAGGCACGGACGAGATCAAACTGCTACCTTGCAGTGGCCAAGGTAGTGCTCTTGCTCAAGCATGATAGCATGAGCCTGGTCATCCCAAAGAGCAGCACTAAGGTCCTTCAACTTGCTCACCCTAGCCCATTTCTGCCTCCACTTCCATGTATGGCTTCCAAGAATCTTTGGGTGAGTGGTAGTGCTAGCTGGCTTTATCATTTCATTCCTAAGCTCACCCACAGCATACAACACCGATGGAAGTGCTTGTGGATAGTTTGGATGGACCTCCTAAAGGACCTGTGGACAACCCTAAATCTTTGGTTGTGCCCTACAACATGTAAAAACATGGCAACCTCGCTCTTCTCTTCGCACCCCCTCCCTATCGCTGACAAGACTCCTCTCTCTAAAAGTTCTCACTAACTTAAAAAAAGCAACTCTCTTCATCCTAATCATAGAAATACACTCAAATCGGTGGAATTGTATATCATTCTCAGTGTTCTTTGTCCAGCTTTTCATTTTCATCCCTAAGGTACCAAGTACTATAGGATCGTGCAAAGGGGTTTCGTGTTTAGGGGTTTTCCTTTTCACCTAGTGGATACAAAGGTAACCATAACAACAAATAAGGCAAATGCCTTCCTACACACAAAGATGTCACGGCTCAAAGACAGATCCATCTACAAGCATGTAAAATGTAACATGATTTCAAATTAATGTACCCTCGCTAGGCATCAACATGAATGTGAAATGAATGCATGCCAACAAAAGCACTACTGCATCTTGCATCTTGTATGTGATGCCTCCCAAGATTATGTGGACAACATCATCGACCAATGATGGAACAAAAACTCAGAGCAATAGTAATCGTAAATGATCAACATCCCTAACGTATCAAGAACAAAGAAGGTACAAGTAACACTAACAACCGCATCAAACAAAGCTTATGAACAAAGAAGGTACAATACAAATCAAAAGCAGATCAACAACCCTAATAGATCACGAGCCCAACAGATCAAGAACAACAAGAAGGTACAAGTAACCCTAATAGGAGCATGAAGTAGTTATAACAAGTATGAAACCCTAACAGATCATGAACAGCAACGAACAAGAAACCCTAATAGGTTCAAGAAGCACCACAAAAAAGAAGATTGGGGGTCGATTTCACCTTGCACTACTAGGGATGTGTACATCAATGATGCTCTTCTTTCGTCACTGAAGACTCCAAAATCGTCACATATATTATTTTATGACGAACTTGTGACGATATGGTATTCGTCATTGAATGCGCGTCAGATTTTACCTACCGTGACGAAACGTCTATTTTCGTCATAGATGTGCATTTGTTCTATGACGAAATGGCCGTCGTCATATAAGTGTATTCTTTCTATGACGATCTATTTTCGTCATTGATATAGCCCCTTTTTCGTCATGATTTGCTGTTCGTTAGGCGCGCCGACGACGCCCCGCTTATGCCGGGTAGATGACGTGTCTTGACCACATTGCAGGTGACGTGTCCGACCACGTGGCAGCTGACATGGCCAGTGATGTGGATGGTCCACGTGTCCCCTTTTTATTGGGCCACAAGGCTTGCTGTGGTTCTCATTTTCGTCACTAAAGTAAATAGAAATTCGTCACAGAATCAATTACTAAATCGTCACAGAAAGGTCAGATAATTCATCACAAGTGCACATGCTGATTTCATTACAGAATGCAAATAATACTGGAATGACCAAAAGCTTCCATAAATTAACAGATCCATTATTCCAATGACCAACAACTTAATGAACAATTCTAAACTCGGTTCACATAACTCACTAGACATCATATTTGAACTACTAGTTTCATCTCAGTTCACATTAACATCACAGGAAATAATAAAAAGTTGCCAACCACCAGCAACATAAGTTACTACATAAACAAAATCACCAGCAGACCCCTTGCTTAATGAACCAGCAGCTACGAGCAGCGCTCATGTCGAAGAAGCATTGTTGATGGCCAAGATATGCTTGAGCAGCGCATTGTTCTCTTCCATTGCCTTGTTGTTTATCTCTGTCAGCTTCTTGTACTCCTCCATCTCCTTTTGTGTCCTCGCCAGCTTTTCCTCAGCTTCTTCACTTCTCTTCTTGAGCTCATCGATTTCACCTTGTACAGCAGCCGTACTTTGAAGATAGAAGAAGCACCTTAGTTGCCAGGGGTGTGTGGGAGGAGACAGTTCAGTTTGTTAAGGCAAAGGCAAGGAAATGTATATTATGCATTTTCGCTATGAGGGTGCTTCTGGCTTTCAAGCTGCAACCGATCAATCTGAATATTGATGCAGAGATTGTGGAAAGGTGATAAAAAACGATGCCTTCACAAACCTAATTGAATACATCCTGTCATATCCACCGCTTACAAATATGTACAATAAATTTAGTAGAAATTAATGAAAACAATATATGGCCTACTGCAGAGATATTTGGTATATCTGCAAATAGATGGTGCTCTGAGATGACATCAACAAAAATGAATAATATATCTTGATTAAAATCGATGCTGCCATGTAACAAAATATAAGACTTAAGAGAGGATATGCTGACTGAAAGTGTGATTGAACACTATATTATAAAAGGTGTGACATGATGTTTAAATGACAGACGGACAATTCTTTAAATAAGATTTTAGGACATCTACGTAGGTCACAGCTACTGCAATAGAAATTAATGAAAACGGCAACAGAGCCATACTCAACAAAGTTCTGGTATCATTGATTACAAATTATGTAAAAAACAAATCAGAATAAGAAACATTTAGTACAGCTTAAAAGTTCAAAGAGATATAAATTTTTAATGCCACACATATTATTGTTGTTTGTCTACTAAGATGGAAACAATTCCAGTTAAGAAGATACACGGTTGAATCACAGCGGTAATAAATATTATTGTTGTTTGACTATTTATAAGTGATTAGACAAAGTGACGTGCTATACGGAGTATTGTTTACCGGAGTTCTGATAAAAAAATTACAGTGCAGCCGGCAGCGGTATTTCTCTTGAAGACCTAGTGATAGTCAGGAAGAAAATAATAATGAATCTATGGCAAAAACAATCGTAAAAAAAAAGAGACAGGAAGAAATGAAATTTGCTACTAACCTGATGAGCGACGACTCCGGATAAGATCCCATTTGCCAGCCTTTTCCTTCCTCTTTTGCTTGATTGTGTTGCTGAGAACCTACATGTCACCAGACACCAGTGATCAATCAATGCCACAAAATGTTCCTGCATCACAGTCAGCTGGAGAGAAGCCAAGAACAGTAATTCACCTTGGCACGATGTGTCTGATAACGATCCAGTAGATACGGAGGAAGAGCACCCTCTTGGACATCATCATCAACCTTCTGTCGTTTAGTTGATTCATCGTGCATTTTCAGGCTGCAAAAAAGCCAATTCAAGCAGAGACCCACGTAACTACAACAGCCCTTAGCACCAAGCAACTACAACAGCACAAGGCATGCAATCATCAACAACAGGGGCACATGAACAACAAAACCAAAAGGGCGTAAACTTATCAGATCAGAACCGTACATTGCGGGCATCCTTCGAGGGCCTGTGCACCTCATGCGCTACCACGCTTGCGCTTGCGCTCGTGGTCCAGCGCTGCCATGGCGCTTCTGGTGAATAAATGGGAAGAGCGGTAAGATTGAGACATATGAGGGCTAGCTAGGGGCATGGAGAGGTCTCAGATTCGAGGAGGCGCGGAGAAGGGAAGGGGCTTACCATGACGGGCGGAACCTCAAGCTCGGGTTTTGGGTGGGGAGGAGGAACGAGAGGCGAAGAGGGATATCGGGGCTTAGGGCACCAGATAGTGCGAAGCGGCGGCGACCTTCTCATGTGGCCAGCGGCAAAGTGAGAAGCGGCCTCCTCTGCTACTGCTTCTAGAGGAGTGCTCTGCCGTGGCTGCAAATTTTGAGAAGAGCGGAGAGAAGAAAAGGGCGGCGGCAACCGGTGACGGGAAGAAATGAGAGAGGATGAGGGTTAGGGTTCGAGGTGACCCTATTTTATACTTCCTTGGCGCATGGTAGCCGTTCGATCATGAATCAATGGCCAGCAAATTATGGGCCAAGTACAGTAATGGGCCGATTTTAGGGTTTAGGCCTATTAATATATCTGGTGTTTTTATTTTGAATTTTTGAGAACTTTCATCTTTAATTTTCGGTTATTAAATGAATTCAAATGAAAAATCCGTAAAAAACTTGGATGTGATGGTTTTTTCCCTAAAAATTTCTAAAATCATGCTTCAGCATTTAAGCTTGATCAAACTTGGATGTGACAATGTTTTACATATTTTAAAATTTGAAATTTGAAATTTTACAAGTTCAAACCAAATTTTAAAACCCTAAATGATTTCAGATGTAAAAGTGATGAATACAAAAGTTGTTCAACTCGTCAAGATCTACAACTTTTATTTTGATCATCTTGTCATTTGACAAAATTTGAACATTTCAAATTTGAAATTTTAAAAAATGATAAGTTCGAACCAAAATTTGAGACCCAAATTGATATCAACATAAACAGTGATGAATACCAAAGTTGTTCAACTCATTAATATCTACAACTTTTATTTTAGTCAATTTGTCATTTGAGAAAATTTGAACCTTTCAAATTTGAAATTTTGAAAAACGACAAGTTCGAACCAAAATTTGAGACCCAAATTGATTTCAACATAGAAAGTGATGAATACCAAAGTTGTTCAACTCATGAATATCTACAACTTTTATTTTAGTCATTTATTCATTTGACAAATTCTTAGCACACATTGTTCACTAATCTTACACATGTCTCATATAGTTTATAAAACCTTATGAGAGATGTGTCACATTTGTGAACAATGTCGTTACCACTTTGTCATATGAAGAAATGACAAATACAAAAGTTGTAGATCTTGATGAGTTATTCAACTTTGGTATTTATCACTTTTTCAGCTGAAATCATTTGGGGTACCAAAATCTTGTCTGAAGTTGCATTTTTTTGAAATTCAAAATTTAAATTGCTCAAACTTTCCATATGTATATATTGATAAAACCAACAAAATAAATTGATAGAGAATGATTTTATAAAATTTTAGGAAAAAAATCATCAGATTTGGAGTTAGCATGAGGAAAAAAAACTAGTTACAAAGTTGACCCACAAATTAAAAAAAAATATAACATTGTTCACTACGATCATGTAAGGATCATCTAGAACAGTGTGATTTCTCTTTTTAATCTGTGGGTAAACTTTGTAACTAGTTGTTCTCCCTCATACTAACTCCAAATGTGATGGTTTTTTTTCCTAAAAATTTCTAAAATCATGCTTCAGCATTTAGGTTTGATCAAACTTGGATATGATAATGTTTTACATATTTTAAAATTTGAAATTTGACAAGTTCAAACCAAATTTTCAAACCCTAAATGATTTCATATGCAAAAGTGATGAATACAAAAGTTGTTCAAATCATTAAGATCTACAACTTTTATTTTGGTCATCTTGTCATTTGACAAAATTTGAAACTTTCAAATTTGAAATTTTAAAAAATAACAAGTTCGAACTAAAATTTGAGACCCAAAATGATTTCAACATAAAAAGTGATGAATACCAAAGTTGTTCAACTCATTAATATCTACAACTTTTATTTTGGTCATCTTGTTATTTGACAAAATTTGAACCTTTCAAATTGGAATTTTTGAAAAACAACAAGTTCGAACCCAAATTTGAGACCCAAAATGATTTCAACATAAAAAGTGATGAATGCCAAAGTTGTTCAACTCATTAATATCTACAACTTTTATTTGAGTCATATTGTCATTTGACAAAATTTGAACCTTTCAAATTTAAAATTTTGAAAAACGACAAGTTCGAACCAAAATTTGAGACCCAAATTGATTTCAACATAAAAAGCGATGAATACCAAAGTTGTTCAACTCATGAATATCTATAACTTTTATTTTGATCATTTATTCATTTGATAAATTCTTAGCACACATTGTTCACTAATCTTACACATGTCTCATATAGTTTATAAAACCTTATGAGAGATATGTCACATTTTTAAACAATGTCGTTAGCACTTTGTCATATGAAGAAATAACTAATACAAAAGTTGTAGATCTTGATGAGTTATTCAACTTTGGTATTTATCACTTTTCAGCTGAAATCATTTGGGGAACCAAAATCTTGTCTGAAGTTGCATTTTTTTGAAATTCAAAATTTAAATTGCTCAAATTTTTCATATGTATATATTCACAAAACCAACAAAATAAATTGATAGAGAATGATTTTAGAAAAATTTAGGAAAAAAATCATCAATTATCATGTTATACGTTTATAAATAGAAAAGCATGCATGCCTTTATCACAAAACAGCGAGTGCTCTAGTGGTAACGCACCAACAAGTCTTGCAACAGGTCGCGGGTTTGAATCTCCCTGCGTGCGCTATTTTTTGGCAAAAAAAGGGAGGAGGATGCAGGTCCACCTGGACCGTGTGGGCCACGCTGCCCCACTTGTTCACCGCCACGTCCTCAGGCTGAGACCCGCTAGTGGGACCGCATCGCCACGTCTTCGAGGTTGGGACCCAATGGTGGGACCACATCGCCACGTCCTCGAGGTGGGACCTGCTGGTGGGACCACGGCGACATGTCCTCGAGGAGGTACACGAGCCAAACGATCTATGACGATTTAGTTTTGTTGTTTTATGACGATTCTTTTGTTTTCGTCATTATTCTTCGTGCCAAAGCTCCGTCACTTGTTACTTATGACGAAGCTGGAAATTTCGTCATAGAAAGCGCTTGTTCTGTGATGAAATTTGTAAGCGTCACGACTGAATCATCATTGATGAACACATTTCTAGTAGTTTGGCTCGGGGTCCAAACAACGGAGAGGAGGCAGATCTGGAAGTAGAGGATGCAGATCGGGAAAAAGACGAAGCAGATACGGACGGAGAAGAAGAAGAACACCACTGCCACGGAGTCCCAGCAGTAGCCGGAGCAGGGACGCGGCGAAGAAACTCGGCGCCGGTGACCTAACCCACAACTAGCCGGAGGTCGCCGCCGCCGCCACGCACCACAACTCACCGCCGGTCTCTCACGAGGGAGGTGGAAGAGCAAGCACCGAGTGGAAGAAGGAGAGAGTGGAGAGTGGGAACCCATATATAAAGGCCGGCGAAATCGCCGCCATTTCGCCAGCACATGGCGCGCAGAAAGGGAGCGGAGAGCGGGACGCAGCAAGACGCTTCCCTTCCCGCCAGAGCTCACATGAGCCACCCCGCCCACGCCGCCAAAATCGCCCAGCGTCGTCAGTGACGAAGCTCGGCTCAAGAAACGAGGGTTTCGGCCGTTTCCAGAGAGCCAAAGTGAGAGGTCGAGTGTTGCTCATGGGTTGTGCTCGCTATGGGCCATCGACTACAAACATGGCAACTTGCAGCCCACGGGCGCAGCCGGGCCTCCGGGCCAGGGTCGCAAACACGCCACAAAATTATAAAAGGAAGCAAACTTGACATGCTAGCTACGACTTCATCTAAAAGGAAATATACTAAAATAATGCAGCTACATTGCTAATCACCATATTTAGCCTTCCTAATCAAACGAAGCCACTAGCAACTCACGTCAATAAAATTGGAGACAATCGTCAACTTGCTTCATATATCCGGTGGCTTCTTAAATTGGCATAATTCCTTTTCTTTAGATAAATTAGCTCCACGAAATATAATCGAGTTTGGCATAGTATCAGTAAAATCTATATTTCCAGCCTTCATCACATTTTGCTTCGCATCAAAAGAAAATGAACCAAACTGAATAACTTGATGAGCCATGGTCTCATCAATGAGCTCCAGCGCAGAGCTTCGAGGAGATGCGAAGGCCTCAGGCAGGCAGAGATGCCCTCGTGTGGGCGGGCGGGCAGAGGTGGGTTAGGAGGCCGATGTCTGGACGAAGAAGAAGATGATAAAGGAGGCTGACATGGCCCCCCATTTGAATGGTTGCCTAACGGATCTAAATGATCCTTGTGTCCTTTCTCTGGTCATACCTCTTACCAAACACAAAATATGGACGTACCTCTTCTCCAACCAAACACAAGTATGGGATGGTCCTTGATGTTCCCAAACCAAACGCAACCTTAAAAGAGCAAACGGACTTTTCCGTCTCGCTTTGTTTTACTTCTCAAAGCGCCCTGACGGCCAATATGTCTCATATGTGACGCGCACTCATGACATGTAGTCATATGAGTGATAACAACTCGTGTCCAGTAATAATATGGAGTCTGATTCTAAGACGTTCATGAATATGTTTGCTAGTATATTTATTAATGACAAATACTACAAAAGATGGGCAAGCCTCTCCAGCGAATTTTTAGAGACGATCTTATCCAACATCTATAGATAACGTTTTCTTATGATGGATATCCCTGTCCAAGTCACCGACTACCAAATGTCGTGCTTCTCAACTTTTACATGTGTGTAGCGATGTAGACATTATACTCACTTGGCTCTTGGCCGAATCCATCGTTAAATTTACAATTTGCATTGATATTTTTAAATTAATATGCCATGAATTATTAATGAATGGATTAAGTCTATTTTTAGCTCCTTAACTATTGCATTTATCTAATTGACCCCAACTACAAAACCCGGTTCATTTTGGCACATCTACTATCAAAATCGTTCAATTTTGATCTCAGAACCATTTCAAAATCGACTTGGTATCAAAATTAAACGATTTTGATAGGTGAGGTGCAAAGTTACTCAATTTT